TTCTTTCCTTCCGCCAAATTTCTCTCACTCATTTTCCCACTTTCTTCTTTCTGTTTCTCCTCCCCCATCTTTCTCTCTCTTTTCTCTTTCCCTTTTTCTTTCGGTTTCTTCTCTTCTCTTTATCCTTTCGCTCTCCCCCTCTCTTCCTCGCTCTCTCCCTGTCTCTGCCTTTCTCTTTCTCACTGTCTCTCTCTTTCTCATTCTTGGTATCCCCTTGTCTCCAAATCTCTCTTTCTGTCTGCCTGTCTTTTGCCCCCCCCCAAAAAAAAAGTATTTTTTTTTCATTTCTCCCTTTCTTAAACTTTCTGTCTTCCTCTTTCTTTAAAGTTTCTCCCACTCCCTTTATCCTCTCTTTTCCTCTATCTCTCTCGCTCTTCTAATCTTTTTTCTTTGTCTCATTCTAGCTCTCTCCCCGTCTCTCTTATTCTCGGTATCTCCCTGTCTACCCATTTTTTAATGTCTGTCTCACGGTATCTCCCTCCACACACACACACACAGAAAATAAATATATATATGAAAAAATACAAAAATAGCCTTGCAGGTCAATGAACTAATAAAACGATTATCTACATTTTCATCTGGATATATATATATATTCTTTTATATTTTTCCATTTTTTTCCTCTTGTTACGGAAGTATGAATTAAGGACAAACATATGTTATATCGACGTTAAAACAAAAATTGTATACATTCCCAATATGATGTTTCTCAGTTGATGTATGTATACGTATGTACACAACCTACCACGATTCTATACAGACACACGTACACAAAAGTTGAAATATTGAGTAACTGAACGTTTGAAGTGTTAAGATTTTGAAAAGCTGAAATTGTGAAGAGTCTTGAATTTGGAGATGAGTTAAAATGTTCAAGAGTTTTAGATTTTGAAGAGGAACTGAACTTTTGAAGAGTTAAGATTTTGATGAGAAGTTGAAGTTTGTAATTTGAAGATTAGTTGAAATATCTAGAGTTATAGATTTTGAAGAGCTTTTGAAAAGAAGCTAAAATTTTGAAGCTTTGAATTTGAAGATTAACTGAAATATTCAGGATGTTAAGATTTTGATAAAGAACTGAACTTTTGAAGAGTTGAGATTTTTAAGAGAAGCTGAAACTTTGAAGATTAGTTGAAATACTCGAGATTTTTAGATATTGAAGAGGAACTGAACTTTTGAAGAGTTGAGGAATAATTCCTTTGGCCAGAAAATGTTCTTATGCCAAGTGTGTACGTGAGTCATTGATCAGCGGATCAGCTGATGCATCTTACGACCAACAGTGAAAACAGATGCATTTGTAATACATATTTGGGATTTGTGTTATAAAAAATCTTGGATAAGATAGAATGCAAATTCTTTTTACGATGTTATTTGTCGCTTGAAGTCCATGTAGTAATTCATGTAAAAGAATTATGCATTTTTAGAGTAAAGAAATACATAGTGATTTCCTTTCATGAAATTATCCAAATATTTATTTGTAAATTTCTTTGTAAGCCTTTCGGACCCTTGAGTCATAGCCGGGGGTCCTGCTGGTGGGGTCCAGGAGTAACGCCCCGATGAGGGAACAGGGAACGAAGCCCCATGGAAGGTTCTGGATTTTAGTAGTTTTAAAGAGATAAACGCATTGATTTCTGTACCAAGATCCCAGACATCTTTATTTAGATAATAATGACATAATGGTTGTCCAATGTTCAACACCATACTCAGTTGTAGCTGCCCTCTCAGTTGCGTTATCAACAATTGGGTAAAGAACTGGCCATGTTCATCCAATTTGGGATACGAAGTCTTGTAATCGGAGTCTCGGTCCACTTGTGAGATCCCGTGTTGGCTTACCCATCCTTTTGAAAATACGAGTGGTTGTGATGATAGGATATGTGTGAAAAAAAAAAAACTTCCATGAGCCTATCCATTTCCTTCTGAAGTCTGAAATAATAGTTCTTGTACTCTACTCTTTTTTAGGTCTGACAGCAATCCATTGTTCTCAACCAGGCTCCTTCTAAGGTCTGCCTGATTGTCAGACATCAATTCACACTAATTCTTTTGGCAAATTGCACGTCCTCACATGCAGTCATTAGCGTTTTCCATGAAACAAAAATGGGCCTGATTTAGTATGTATTTATTTGGTCAACGTCAATCATATAATACAGCTTATATCAAAGGAGGGCAGACTTCACACACACATATGTGTGTATAACAGTTCTACAACTCATAACAATAAACCCCTCACTTAAAATCTATTGACAGTAAGATACTTCAGCAGTATTGCTGCTAATCCATTCCAAAAGCTCAGTGATGCGCGTGTAGACGCCTGGAACATTCCGTTTGGCGCACTCCTCGCCGAAAGAGACGATCCCACCAAGGTGAACCTCCCGTCTTCTTCCACCGTCAGAGGGCCTCCCGAGTCGCCAGAACAACTGTCCTTCCCGCCTTTCTTAAAACCTGCGCACAGCATGAAAGGTGTGATCAAAACACCGGCTATCTCCTTGCGCCCACACTCGACGATGGGTAAGTCGACTTCCCGAACGATGTCGGGGTACTTCTGTCGCCATTGGTCGTGTCTCCCCAGCCGACGACTTTCCCGGTCTGTCCTTCGTAGACCTTCGTCGGGTCCGAAGGTAGGCACACGGGTCGGACCTCCGGGTGCGACGTGAGGTCCAGGGCCTCCTCCAGACGCAGGAGGGCGATGTCCAGGTTGAAGTAGTTCTCTGTGTAGCCTTCATGGAAGACGACGTAGCTCTCCAGGGCCAGCATCCGCGTGACTCCTTCGACGTCGTCGTCCTCAGAAGCCACGTCGTGCTCGGCGACTTTCACCCGAAACTTGGATGCGGGTTCGGGCTTGTCCTTCGGCGAAAACATACAGTGCGCGGCCGTGACGACGTAGCGGGTGTTGATGATGCTCCCGCCGCAGAAGGGCTCCTTCAGATTCTCAATATCGTAGATGGCGACGAGCCAGGGATATCTGAAGGGTGGGGACACCTCCGTCCCTCCGATGATGCGGTCGCCGTTGCTCACTCCGCAGCGACACTTGTCTGGGGAAGAAACGAGACTGTAGAGGATATATTATTATGTATGTCTACACACAAGCAAACACACACACACGTATGTATGTATATCATACATATAAGTTTTTTTTTCAAGTATATAACATACTTTCCCTAGCACTGGTACAAATGCATTTTTCGT